TTTCTTTCTTTCTTTCTTTCTTTCTTTCTTTCTTTCTTTCTTTCTTTCTTTCTTCCTTTCTTTATTTCTTTTTTTTTCTGGTGATTGCTGAATAAACAAAATTGGCTCTAGCGCTTTCCGCAGATATTCAAATAAATTAATACAATAAAAATGCCAATAAAATGCCTATAATGTGACGCTATATATTCCATTATTTAAAAAAATATAAATTACATTTTAGTATGTCATGTACATACAAGGGCAATTACTGTGGTTTGTACAGCGTCCCGCACTGGTTGCCGCGGGTACAGTTACGTCACGTGGGTGGTGTGCCATTCATATGCTGATAGATGGGTTATTTACTTGACTCGTTGTAGTAGGCATACAATACTAACTGTAATTCTATCCCACACTATTACGTACTCGGCGATTCTAGTGAATGAAGATCACGTGACAAAGGTGCGCGCGCTACATTTGTACCAGGGCTCCTTGCACAAAGGTCACGCAAAGGCGAACACTTTCCCCTACACCTAAGAAATTACCGTATAATTTCATCCGTCATTAGATAATTACAAAATGTTCCCATGCTCTCAAAAAAATATTATTTTTTTCTCCAATCTGATTTAAATCTGATGTATTTTATAGCGGGTATTTTTTAATTATTATTTTATTAATACTATTTTTTTTATATCATGTTTTATTTTTTTATAATTACCACGAAAATTATTTTAACTATCGTCTTATGGGCTTTTGCGATCACCAAATCTTTTAAAAACTGACAGCAAATAAATAATAAAATAATGTAAATAAATAATTAAATAAAAAAATAAATAAACAAACTAAGATCTTATTTTAATCAGATTCTTTAATCTTCTTTGAACAGCATTTTCGGGAAATAGACTGTACCTAAACAAGGCCACACGATTTGCTTTATGATTTTCCCGCCAAATTTTTGTATTAATGCACCGTGACTGAACCGTGGTGGGTATGATATATTATTTGAATAACATTTGCATTTCAAAAATGGGAGACAGAGTACGAAATGTATTTGAAGAACTATCACGTGATTAATATCATAACTAATCTTGTTTATCAATTCATCTGAGCGTAACCACTGTCGTGGCACGTGTTTATACTGCGCCATCAACGTTATTCTGTAGAAACATCACCCGGAAACGTACTAGAAATACATGTAATCAGAAAACATGCCGCTTTTTTGTATAGCGTATGACGCAGAAGGCATGTTTTGATTGAATTGCAGTGTTGTGTCTGAGAACGGAGAGAAGGGCCAGCATATTGGCTTCATCATCGAGGTCCCTGGGAACGATTTCCAAAACATTGAGGTAAGAAGCGTAATTACAATTACAGTAGTAATGGTGAAAAAAAACATCGTTATGAACTTTGACCCTTTATGTTTACGATATTGCGTATACTACGCGTTGTGCTTGTAAACTCGTGCCGCATCGTGCGTAACAGCGACATATGTAGATATTTGGATACAATTTGCTACAAACAGTTCCGTTGAGAAATATTTTCTGATTTGCTGATTCCAAGATCAGCCTAAGTCGAGGTGGCCGGTGCGTCAAAGTACCTAGTAATTCATTTTTTAACGTCACGGTGAAACAAGTGAGCGGTCAATGACCGCTAGTTAGGAAAAAAACATGTGTTTAATAAAGCGTGAGTAAAATTCAAATAGAGAATCTTGTCTATAGTGTAAAATAAATATGTTACCTACAGTGAGTGAATGGATAATACGGTTAGATATATTCATGTACCTCTAGAGCCCGGGGGGGGGGGGGGCTACTTCCATAGAAGTGCAATACGGGTATGTGCCGCCCGACTGGGGTATCATTTCACGTTATTTTGTTTAGAAGTGGGTAGCCATTTATCAATGGTTTGGTTTAGAAATGTGTAGCATTTATTTACTTTTTCACAGATCTTTATATTCAAAGCCAAATACTGGAAAAGGCTGAATAAAATGCATTGCCCTGATGCCCTCACTGGTTGCGAAAGTTGTGAGCTGGGTGGGTTTTTTTTTTCGCTGAAAGCACTTGTGATTAGAAGTGGGTATATAAACAGAAAAAAATGGTTTAGAAGTGAGTATGGTTTTCGAGAGGTGGGCTTCACACCCTTACCCACTTAATGTGGAAGTAGCCCCCCCGGGCTCTAGAGGGTTGCGGTGGCAACGAAGAAAGTACACAAATACAAACAATTTGAGAATTCGATTTAAAATTTAAACAATACACTGAGGAAGTCATTGTGCAAAAAATTATCATTACATTATCCCATATCCCGGGTCACTATGTGATTCTATGACGTAAACAGGTCAAAAAAAGGCCACCACTTTTCCGGAAGTAGTGAGACTGGGGTGCAAGCCTGGGCACGAAGCCCACCTGTTTTTATGGTGGAACTACAACTTGAAACATGCCAGTCTGTTAATATTCGGTAAAAGGGAAACTTATTTTCATCATGTCGATTGGTACACCCGCAACAATATAACGCGTGCAAGTTTACGTTTCCCCCAATAAATGGTAAACTGCGCGCGCATGCGTAACGACGTATCTCCTACTTCTGGGAAAGTGGTCTATTCGTAACGTTCAATTTGATAATGACATTGGTCTGCGGTCCGCCCATAATAACTATGATTTCAAGAGATTTTACGATATTATAAGTGATGGACGACCACATAGTAGATGTCTATTTGAGCAACATCGCTTTCACCTACTACGTCATTTTGACGCAAAGAAGCTTCGTCACTAGAGGGCGTGGTTTTTATTGAAATTACTTTCCCGTGTTTGAACTGATATTAAAGCGGGAGGGTCATCACCCAAGCGGCGATAACAACACACGCTAAACACGCAAAGGCTCATTGGTAGACGTTTGTTTGTAAATAATCACACGCTAAGGCCATCTGTCGCATGCGCAGGTGACGACACCCCCGATCTAATGTAGCAAAGACATG